GCGAGGCAGATCACAAGTAATACTGCTACACGTTCCTGGATTGTTCCTTGCTTCTCCTGCGCGCCATCTTTTGCCTGCTCTACATTTATGAACATTCTGTTCACCCTTCATGAGTATGAGAAGGAAAATAATCCTCTTCCACTGAGCCTACAACGATATAAAAAAGGGGAAAAGGTGTGCGAAATATTCTACAACTTCAGTATTGAAGGATGGTCAGTTTGCTGTTTTGTCGAGCATTCGGTTTTCCGTTTTTCTTCGTTTCTATTTTTTTTTTCATGGTTTAAAATGCGTAGTAATATGTAGTTATGAAGCTAGATGGATCTGCTTGTGATAGCGTCCACGTCCATACTATATTTCCTCTCAAATCAGTTTTTTTTCTTTTTTCCTCTCGTTAATGGGTGCTACAGAAGCATATTATCAGTTATATCAGCAACGGTTTAGGAAGTGGTTAATGAGATGGAGCCAGCCATATGGACTGAGAAGAAAAATTTGCCAGAAGTGACGAAAAGCTACGAAACTTATATGAAAAAGGTTTGTAGTGATTTTGAAAAATGTGCATTTATCACTGTGCTGGAAAGCTTGGCATAGCTGGCGTGAGGTGTGAAAGTGTCCCAATTAACATCACTTGCATGAGATCCGCAAAACTGTTGAAGTCTTTTTATGTCAGGTAGTTCATAGGGTTGTACTTGCAGCACCGTCAATGGATCCTTGCAACCTTTCTGCGTTTGTTCTGTTTGTCCGAAAGTTAATAATTTAGTGCAAAAAAAGAAAAATAATTTATTCTATGAAATGAATTATTGCGCCATAAAATAAATTGTTAACTTCACATCATTTTAGCAGGTTCTTGAAGATCTCGCTGCTTCGGTTTTGCAGTGCTGTGATACTCCAGTCGACGTTGAGTAAGTTTGTCGTAATTTCGTGTTTTACAAGTTTGCTTTCTATGCGTTTTTTTCCATATATGCAATACAGAAAACGCATATTGACGAGAGGTTGTCTGTGTGTTCGTCTGTGCCGGATTTCATCTCAAGACGTACGAAAGCCACAAAGCTGAAACTTTGGGAACTTAATCTACACACATGTATGAGCCTCTATCTCCGAAACGGACACTTTTGCTCTCGTGGCTCTTACATACGATCCATGAAATTTTTTTTGCTGGTAAATTACTAGCTGGGAAATCTGAAAAGTTAGAAAGCTGGAATTTTAAGGGGATGTCCCCCATCCACGTGCAATCCAATGACTTAGAGTTCAGCCTCAGGTGTGCGTAGTTCTGCCCATGAAAATTTTTTGCTGGTACGTTGCTAACTCGGGAACCTAAAAAGGTAGAAGGCTGAAATTTTAATGGGATATTCCCCGTCCATGTAGACGTTAATGAATTCAAACCCAGCCTCCAGGTGTACATGGTTCCCACATATGGGCCGGCGAAATTTTTTTGCGGGCAAGTTGCTAACTCGGGGATCAGAAAAGCTAAAAAGCTGAAATTTTAAGGGAATGCTTTCTCACAGTCGTGATGGCCAGTCTCAGTTTTTTATCTAGAAGCATTTGCCGAATAAACAGTGCCGATAACGACAAAAAAGTGCAAGAAACTATGTAAAAAAAGCATCTTCCACCGCAATCGGTTTGCTGGCCAATTATTTTGAACACCTCCTTACCGATATACGCGCAAGAGTTTACTGCTTAGTAGAGCGGAACTTGTTATTCTTTCATCTTTGTGTGTTCCAGGTTTGCGGAAAAATTACCATCGTCGCCTTATTGCTTTCCAAATGGCTATAGCAAGGAATTCCAAGCC